ATGATTCTTGCATTCATGTTGTCGTAGTGTTTATAATATTTTGTATGGATTCTTTTTCTGTGCGATTGCTTATTCTTTTGTGACCGCTTCTGTGAAATTTTTATTATGTAGTTCAGACGCCCTCTATATGGTGACATTTTTGGTGTCCAACAACAAGAACAACCTAATTATGAGGTATGGAGATGTGCATTTGGGAAAGCTAACCTAATTATGACGTATGGAGATGTGCATTTGGGAAACCTTTCTATGTGATCCCATCCACATATATGATATATGTGAACCCTGATCTCAGCCGTCAGATCTGAGTAGATGGCTTCAGCCATAATGTCACAAGTTGGTGCTTAACCTTCAGATCTTGATCTGACGGTTCACAGTTATATATCATTTCGAAGAAAAATTTGGGGCATGCATAGATCTGATAGGGGCACACATGATAAAAATAATAATAAAATATTTTTGGTGATAAAAAGTTACCATAATATTTCAGGTGATGGAATATTTGATTTTTATTTTATTAAGCTCGCCCTAGTTTATTCCTGTTGTTTTTTCCATTTGTTATTGATTGGTATACTTAGATATCTGGTCTTTCTTTCGCTATGTTTATTTGAAGACAAAACCATCCATCAAACGAGGACCCTTTTTTGTTTGTTTTGATCCATAGATCAGTCTGTGACACCATTCTCTTTTGTTGATTACTTTCTTCATAAGATCAATGGCAATGATTCCTAGGCCCCACGAGCTTATCTCTGTAGATCAAGTGAAAGAATCTTAAGCACGCTCGAAGGGACTGAGTTTTTGGAGTTCAGACCTTTTGAGATTGCTGCAGCTGTAGCGGTATCTATATTTGAGGAATCCAAATCGCTTGATGTCAGCAATGGTCTTTCTTGTAACCCCCATGTTGACAATGGCCAAGTGTTGAGGTGCGATGAACTTATTCAGTAAATTTTGTTGATTAAAAAGCATTGGGTCAGTTTCATCAGTGCCTCAGAGTCCAATAGGGGTTCTTGATTCTCCATGTCTAAGCTATAGAAGTGATGATAAAACAATTGGGTCTTGCTCTAGTTCACATACCAGCCCTGCTAGCAAGAGGAGGAAACTAAACCGAGTTGCTGAAGGGACATGAAGGGGAAAAGAAAGAGAATTCAGGGGTCGTACAAGTAGGAGTTTTTTGTGAGATGCATCATCTAATGCGTTTGTAATATCAAGCTTCACTAGTTTTTTATTAGGTCAGGGGAAGAGAATCCCAATCATTCGCCTCACCATTAGCGCATCTATCGGTTCCTAATGAGCTTTTCGCATTTCCTTTCCCATTACAAAAATAGACTAGGACACAAGTTCCTTTCCTGTTACCGTGGGCATGCAAAGAGAGATCCTTTTTATTCGGGTTTCCTCTATTAAGACATGAGAGAGATGGCTAGAGAGGGCGTGCAGAGAGAGAGAGATCTGTTCTGTCAATTTTATTTTATTTTTGTAGAAGGTCTAACGAGTATTCTGTGAACGTGCAGAGAGAGAGAGAGTGATACTTTTTTTTAGGCTCACAATGAGATTTTGCAGTTGCATTGAGCATGGCTATGAAGAAAGAGGTAATAAACAGTTTATTTGAGAGGGATAGAATAAATGGCAGAGAAATGATTCATAACAGTTCAGGTTATGAAGCAAAGAATTGAGATATGGAAACCCTGATTAACGTCTAAATATTGAAATATGCTGAATAAGTGACAAACTAATATGCTGAATAAGTGACAAACTTAACGTAAAGTGCTCTCACTATAAACATAAAAACTAAGTTTCAAAATAGAAAACTTGAAATTCTCGGCCCTAAATTTTGGTTGATTTTCGGTTGTTCCTGATGAGAAACCAACTTGCTTGAATAATTTGCCAGAATTCGAAATTTGAAGATCGTCTATTTTTTATTTTTAGACAATAATTTGTAGCTGAAACGAAAAAAAGATTGTTTAATTTGAGAATAGAAAATGATGTCCAAAATTTATCTGATATTCTAAAATTTTATGGAAATTCCACAATTTCAGTATTTTAAAATTTCAGTGAATTTCGATAAAATTTTACTGAAATTCTACAAATTTTCTTGTAGTAATATATTTTTATGTTAATATTATTTTATTTTTTTTCATATTTTCACCTTTTTTTTTTTTTTTTTTAAAAATCCTCGGCTTGGCTTACATAGGCTTCACTCGGCTTGAATCATCTTAGCATGGCTTATTTCTGCTTGGCTCGGCTTGGCTGGGCTTGGCTCGGCTAGTTCTGGCTTAAAAAGTTCGGCTCCACTCAGCGAGACTTGGCTCGGCCGACATGAGCAGATCTAAGACGATAAGCTAAGCCAATACGATCAGTGCGTAGCCAAGTCGAGCCGTTTTGTAGCTGAGCTGAGCCTAATATAGCCGAGCCGAGCCGAGCCGTGTGTAATGCGTTGGTAATATCAAGCTTCACCAGTTTTTTATTAGGTCAGGGGGAGAGAATCCCAATCATTCACCTCACCATTAGCGCATCTATCGGTTCCTAATGAGCTTTTCGCATTTCCTTTCCCATTAGAAAAATAGTCTAAGACACTAGTTCCTTTTCCGTTACTGTGGGCATGCAAAGAGAGATCCTTTTTATTAGGGTTTCCTCTACTAAGATAGGAGAGGGATGGCTGGAGATGGGGCGTGCAGACAGAGAGAGATCTTTTCTGTCGGTTTTATTTTCTTTTTGTAGAAGGTCCGGAGAGTATTCTGTGGGCGTGCAGAGATCTTTTTTTTTAGGGTCACAATGAGATTTTGCAGCTGCAGTTGCATTTGCATTGAGCTTGGCTATGAAGAAAGAGGTGATAAACAGTTTATTTGAGAGAGAGAAAATAAAGGGCAGAGAGATGATTTATAACAGTTCAAGCAAAGAAGTGAGATGTAGAAACCCTGATTAACTTCTAAATATTGAAATATGCTGAATAAGTGACGAACTTAACGTTAAGTGCTCTCACTATAAACATAAAAACTAAGTTTCAAAATAGAAAGCTTGAAATCCTCGGCCCTAAATTTTGGCTGATTTTCGGTTGTTCCCGATAAGAAACCAACTTGCTTGAATAATTTACCAGAATTCGAAATTTGAAGATCGTCTATTTCTGATTTTTAGACAATAATTTGTAGCTGAAATGAAAAAAATATTGTTTAACTTGAGAATAGAAAATGCTGTCCAAATTTTACCTGATGGTCAAAAATTTCATTGAAATTCCACAATTTCACTATTTTAAAATTTCTTTCACTAATTTTTTTTTTTTTTCAAATCCTTAACTCGGCTTACATAGGCTTCGCTTGGCTTGAATCATCTCAGCTTGGCTTACTTCGGCTTGGCTCGGCTAATTCTGGCTTAAAAAGATCAGCTCCACTCAGCGAGACTTGGCTAGGCCGACATGAGCGGATCTAAGACAATAAGCTAAGCCAATACAACTAGTGCGTAGCCAAGCCGAGTTGAGCTGTTCGTAGCTGAGCCGTGTGTAGCCAGCAAAGCCGAACTCTATGAGCCAAAGGAAAAATAAAAATAGAGGAAAATTTGCATGAATTTCGTTATCATTGAATCTTTTGGGTTTAAAGAGAAAAAAAATAGATTTTTTTCTGGGTTACTTTTTTCTAATTCTAGATATTACTTTGCGGTTGCTTTAATTACTTCTTCTTTTTTAGAGTATATTGCTTGTATTTTTTTTGTACACCTTTTGAAAAGAAATCATTAGTGAAACTTTTGATGAAATTTTTTGTTAAATCAAGATTCTTAATTTAGTCTCATTCTTGTCGTATTCATCTTTAAATCAAATTGCAATAATATAAAATAATAAATAAATAAAATTATAGAGAAAAGTTTATTTGAAAAGTATTTTTGAAAGAAGATAAAATACGGTTTTATATATAAGTTGTTCCGAGCCGATATAAGCCGAGCCCAGCTGATATACGCTAAGCCAAGCCAAGCTGATGTAAGTCGAGCCGAGTTATGGGCCAAAACAAAATATCCACAAAAAACATAAAAATTTTAATTTTTTTTTAAAAAGTTAAACAAATCTTGTTATATATGCAAAAAGATTCCTGGCTCGAGTGGTTCGTAAACATTTTTCTGGGTTTTCAAGTTTTTACAGGTGATGGACCTAGAAGGCATTTCCATCAAGCATTTACCAGATGAAATGGGATGTCGCATTCACCTGAGGTATAATTAAGGACTAATCTTTTTTGCAATGGTTCTTGAAAAATCGTTTGAAATTCTTTGGTTCTCATATCTGTAAAATTCCCTACTTCAAGGCTTTAGCCTTTACCAATTTTTCTTGAGTTTTGAATTCTTCATGTGGTTATTTAGAAATAATTGAAATTTTCTATTTCTGAAT